CTAATGGTGGACATTTTGTCCCCGAGGACATCATCCGCCCAGTAGCAAAATTGCATGAATTTACGAAGATCTAACAGGATACTGGCTCGGACGTCGCCCAGTATAAAAAGGTCCGAAACAGACGTCACCATGGACACGGTGTCGTCTGATAAGGCAGGTGTCCCCTCATCTCCAGACATGACAAATATCCCAAACATGACTCATTCAGATCATCATACTAGTGACAATAGCAATAGTACACATACACAGCCATGTTCAGTTCTCCTTAAAGACATTTTGGATTTTGATGACTCTGAACAACACTGTCTCATTTCGAAATATGGAACTAATGGCTGCAAAACTTGTGAAATTTTAATAACAGACGCTCAATTCACTAGCAATTTAACTAAAAAGTCTTACTTTACTAGAAGTTACGATGATCTGAATTGTAAATCTATAAATGTCGTCTACGGATTAGAGTGTAACCTTTGTGGATTGGTTTACGTCGGTGAAACGAAAGGAAGGCTCAACAAACGTATGTGCGGCCATAGATCAGATATCAACCTCAATGCAAACGACATTCTGTACCAGCATTTTAATCAGCCTGATCATTCTATCGTTTCTATGACAGTTCGTATAATCGAAAAAATATAGCACAAGACTAACAATCCTCAACTTGCAACGCCTCTCCGTAGACAAAAAGAGGACTACTGGATTCGACAATTGGGAACTGCGACACTATATGGTTGCAATGACAAAATTGATGGTATAGGTATTCTATCTAGTCCTTCCTGTAGCTCGGTGAATGTGATGAATATTTTCAACTCTACTCCTCGACGTAGACGCAGTCATGGTCATCGTCATTATACATCACCTACTTTGCATGATGTCTCTATTAATGACTTGCTGCCATTTATACAAAAGCCGTTAGGTATTCATCACATTCGCACGAAACTGTATTCATTACCCCTTTCAAAACTTCATTCTCTGTTCAATTTATGTTTGGAAACCACTGTTACAAACCCTCATTCAAACCAATACAAACTTACAGCTATTATTTCGGATATTGCAAGTCACAGACTTTTCAAACCAGTTCGCATTGGAAAAGATGAAAAAGAGAAAAGATCTTTTCTTAAACTTTCCTTTGCCAACAAAGGTCTCGATGGCGTCCACTTAGGCAATATCCTTCATCATAAATTAGTTCAGTCGAAAATACCTCCTTATTTTAAAGATAAGTCTGTACCAATAATTTCTTATACCTATACCAAACCAATTGCAACTAAAGTTTTCAATTACAAACACGTTTTGCAGGATCTCAACATTGACGACTTCAAGTCTAAACCTCCTAATTGCACCTGTGCTAGTTCCCAATTCACAAATAATCCGGCTGGCCACGTTATTACCGGAGACCTCAACATTGTCGATAACACATCCCTGCGAAATTTGTTATCCAAAGGTCCGAAATATCGTGAGCCTAAATCCATCAATTGGAAATACAACTTCAAAATACTGATGGATTCAGTCGAGGATTATGCCAGGCAATGGGCTAAACGCGAGAAAGAAGACGTAGATACTCTGTCCGAATGGATTAAGGCTGTGAGGTCGTTGATACAAATCCGAATTAAGAAACTAAATGGGCATATCAATACCCACGCTACATCAATTTTTAAAGACCCAAATGTTGCAAAACACTTGTCCTACCTCCATGACAAATATGTTGTTGTCCCCGCAGATAAAGCCCCAAACAACATCGTTTTTGTGTGTAAATATCATTACATAAACTGCTTGATAAATGAATTAGGTATTGAAAATTCACTTGGAAACTCAACATATACCCTCACGACACTTACCAAAGAGGAAATCCTAGATAATCATAGGTCCGTTCTATGTTCCTTTGGAATTTCAACCAAAGACGAAGAACTGGATCTTCCATCACTGTATTGGATACCTAAACTACATAAGTGTCCTTACAAACAACGGTATATTGCTGGGTCTTCCAAGTGCTCCACGAAACCTCTTTCTAAATTATTAACATCTATTTTATCAGCAATCAAAGCCGGGCTCCAAAGTTATTGTGAAACTGCCTATTCTAGAGGTGGCGTGAATCAGATGTGGATACTAAAAAATTCCAAAGATCTTTTAGAGTACATACAATCTAAGACTCTCTCATCTTGCAATAGTATTAAAACATTTGACTTTTCTACACTTTACACAAGTATTCCCCATTCCAAACTAAAAGACAAATTGAAAGAGTTGGTATTACTTTGTTTCATTAAAAAGAATGGCGAACGTAGATACAAGTATCTTGTCTTGGGGAGGGATAAATCCTACTTTGTAAAGAATCACTCTGATTCAAACAAAAAATTCTCTGAAACTGACATTATCAAGATGCTTGATTTCTTGATTGACAACATATTTGTTACGTTTGGAGGACGTGTTTTTCAACAGACTGTCGGAATTCCAATGGGAACCAACTGTGCCCCTCTTCTTGCCGACTTGTTTCTTTATTATTATGAGACTGACTTCATACAGGAGCTTCTTAGGAAGAGAGATAAGAAGTTAGCAATATCCTTTAACTCTACGTTCCGCTATATAGATGATGTTCTCTCACTAAATAATACAAAATTTGGTGACTATGTTGAACGAATCTATCCCATCGAACTAGAGATAAAGGATACTACAGATACAGTTAAGTCTGGCTCATATCTTGACTTACATCTAGAAATTGACAATGAGGGTCGGTTGAATACAAAACTTTACGACAAAAGAGATGATTTCAGCTTCCCAATTGTGAACTTTCCATTTCTATGTAGCAACATCCCAGCAGCGCCTGCATACGGAGTATATATCTCCCAATTGATACGATATTCCAGGGCTTGTGTTTCCTATCATGATTTCCTTGATAGAGGATTGCTGCTCACAAGGAAGCTATTAAACCAAGAGTTCCAAATGGTGAAGTTGAAGTCATCCCTTCGTAAATTTTATGGACGCCATCACGAGTTGGTTGACCGTTATGGAATGACCGTTTCACAGATGATATCGGATATGTTCCTTATGTCGTAACTACAATCCCCTTCCCTTTTCACGAATGTGACTTACCGAATTAGACTATTTACCGGATTTGTAATAACATAAGCAACTCGACGGGTGCCACATGTGGAGCAGGATCTGCTTACCCTTCCGGAGCACCTGAGATCACCCCCAGTTTTTGGTGGGGTTCGTGTTGCTTAGTCTTTAGTTTTCTATGTTGTGTCATCTGTACTATTATTTGTCTGTTTGTCTTTTTATTTTTGGCCATGACGTTGTCAGTTTGTTTTCGATCTATGAGTTTGACTGTCCCTCTGGTATCTTTCGTCCCTCTATTAAGTAAGTTCTAGGGATACAAACACGATCATATCGGAATGTTCGGTTTTAATTTGTGATAGTTTTCAAGAGAAAGACGAAATCAATCCTCTCGCACGCCCCTTTTTTTCTCTTCCTAAAACACAAACAAATAGAAGCTAAATCTGTGTGACTTCTGTCCTCTAACTTGGTGTTGGTAGTTTTTATTGCTTTTGATCATATAAACGTTGTTTGCCTTAAGATTTTCACCTACATTCCGAGTCGAATGTTCTATGGGTACATATACTTGACACCACATTTCTGTATTTGTATTCAAACTAATTCAAAATCATTTATGTATTATCTATCAAGTTAACCATTAATGTAACAACATCTTTACGGTTTGAGATCGAATGGCCTTTGCGGAGAATATAGTATTTATTTGCTAGTGCAAAATTGTTAGTTCTTACATTGTAAATTATTGGGTTTGTTTCTATATCGGCCCGTTTTTATTGTATATAAAATCGTGAAAGTTAAACTTTCGTACGAGCTAAAAAAAATTTGCAACGAAAATACAGTTTTATTTCAAATATGTTTTAAAATTCGGTATAGAATAACGTTATATACTGGTGAATTATTAAACATTATTCAGAAAGACTAAGGTGAAAGTGTGTTTGAAGATTTACATATCATTTTACTTTCAGATTGTCCTCTAAATCTACGTATTTTATCATGAGATATAAGAGTGTAGACATTGTTTTAATTGAAATTGATTGACGGTTTGAATATTTTAGATTTATCTTTCATGACGTATTAATGTAAGAGATGACTATAAAAACATTGTGTAGGCTCAAGGAAACCCATTTCTATATATATATTTTCAAACTGCAGCCCTTCGTGAACAGATAAGTATCACGCACAAAAAACTGGATTTTTTTCACTTTCCCGTAAATTCCAATCATGATTTAAAAAGGCGATGGTTTGAATATGCAGCAGTCACTTCTACTGAAAATGTGCTGGAAAAAACATTACAGTCTAATTTCAATATTTGTATTTTGCTTTCAAGGATTTGAGACAGGTAGGGAATTTGGGAAAAAAATGGTACAATATTGACAATACTGTACTTGAAATTATCATTGGTTGTAACCTTTAATAAAAAAATTTTCACAATTTGACTCGAAAATGGATTCTGTTATCTCCCTTTCATTTGTAACCTGCATTTTTTTTTTTATTTATGGTACTATATTTGGTGTTATTAATTCCAAATTCGTATCGAATTTTACCTGATATGCTGCGGTCTATTTTAAAAATATTTTGGATAATCCCCTCGTTATATAAAGCTGTAAACGTTAAAAAATAGAATCCAATACATGTCTGAATGCATGGTCATCGATATATATAGCAAGAGGTTCATTGAGAATTTCCCAAAGTATTTTTTTCCATTATAAATTAAATGATAATACTAGTTATTATCATTATACCGACATGAAATCTTCATCGTTCCAGGCGTTAATTGTCTTACTTTTCTTAGCAATATGTGGTAAGGGAAATTATGCATCTAAATAAGTAGCAAACATCTTCAAGCACAGATTTCTAATCTTTCTCATTTACACAAAATTATTTGCAAATACATGTACTTCACTAGTCAATATTTGTCACTTTTTACAACTGCGTTAAAATTTCTTTCATTCAAAATTTAGACGCAAGAAAATATCGGTGTATGAATGTTCAAAACGAAAAACCAATGGGAGGGTGCTGCGGAGGAGTGGTATACAACACAACAACGAATGGGTGCTGCGGAACAAAGATATATGACAGATCGAGAGATCAGATAGATTATGAATGTTGTGACGGTAAGATTTTATTTTAATTTAAGCCCAGTATGTTACTGGTTAAATTAAAGTTTGATTGTCTTAACGATGTCAAACATTTACTTTAGTCCAAATTTAACTATCGTGATTACAATAACTTACTGTATAACGAATCTTGTACATTGTACGCATTTCATAACTCAGAAGTTGATGCAATCAGTAGCAATGTTTATTTTTTTACCAAAGACATTTTACACGCATTAAAGTATTGACAACTGTTGTTGTTGATGTTGTCGTTTCTATTTTTTTTTTTTAGCTTGTCAAACACTGAAAGATGGTGAAATGTATTTTGAAATAAAGTAAACAATAGTTATAACTGTTTTGATAAACTAAATTTTTGGTATGTCTTAAATATACTTTGCAAAGACAAATAATTATTAATGCTCCTTATATTACCTCTTCGTTAATTACAATACCCTATCAGCGTGAAATTAATTTATATGTATATATCATTTTTTTCTCAATAGGAATAATTCATCTTCTTTTCATCGGATAATATTTGAATCGTAGACATACTTATAAGTTTCTTTTTACCAGTCGGTTTAAAAAAAATAATCGTAATAAAATTTCCAATTCTTTGAACGCTGATAAAATATGCAGTGAGTAGCGTAACTGACAAAGCTCAGGGGCATTAATTCTACAGTTACGTTTTTTTATGTCTTGATACTTATTTGTCTTTGCATAATTTTGCATCCCTCTTTCAGTCGTCTAAAATTCACAAAGAATTAACAGCAAAGGTATTAAAAGTTATCATTATCTGCTTGGTTTTGAACTAATTCATATTGGAATATTTTAACTCATTTTTTAGTCTAAATAGTGTACCAGTAATTTTGGTTTCTGGTCAGGAATGCCCAACATTTATTTCAATCATTTTGATCTCTAATCGCTTTGGTTTAATAGATATCGTCTATAAGCGATCAGAACAGACATGTTGTGGACTTGTGCTACGGAACAACACTGATATTGACCAGGAATATATATGTTGTGACAACCGATTCCATCCGAAAAATAAAGGAGTGTGCTGTGACAATATATTTTATAGGCATGGTATGTACATATTTTCATGGTATGTTCTCAATCTACGAATAAACGAGATTTCATGCGATTTAAGTAGAGAAAAAAAACTAACGGAAGCAGGATTTAAGGCTGTTGGTAAAATTTTCATCAGAATTATTTTGAAACTCCATCTCAATCGTTTCAACATGTTTATCTATTATAAAATACAAATTATTACCCTAAAAATGTTAAACCTTGAATTTGCTTAAATGCTCAATGTAGTTGGTTCTGAAAAGTATATAAATTTCAGGTGATAAATATCGTCACAGCTGCTGTGGAAAATTGCTCAACGAAAACAACGATATGTGTTGTAACGGCAAACTGCATTCCCGTTCTAAACATCATGGAAAGAAATGTTGTGGTAATGAAACGTATAACAAATCAACCCATTGGTGTGACAAGCGAAGTCATGATATCATTCTACAAATTGGACAACAAACGTGTTACGGGGAGAAATACTTGACAAAAACCCAAATTTGTTGCTACAGAGAAAGGAAATTAATAAATAAGGCGACTGTAGATGATGACGATTGTTGTGGTACAACTCCTTACAACTCAAAAGAACGTACTTGTACCAATAACAATCAGCTTTTTCCTAAAGGTAATGTAATGTTAAATATCAAGGGTCAAATGGAAATACAAATTACTGCAAAGTTTCAATCTCTAAAAATAATATGAAATATGAAATATTTTTATTATTCCAATCAGGGTCCCACAGGGGGCATTTACAATTAACAATTAATATATGAGCCATATAAGAGACATATTATACAAAATGCATTATATATTGGCCTACACTATAAACTAAAACACCGAATTATTTTTATAGAACAAACTTTTTTTTCAAGATGAAAACAATGAAAGTGTTGTGCTCATGTTTAAATTTACGGATATTCCTGCGAGAATTACATAAATTTCTGAAATAAACTGCAAGTGAAATGATGTAAAAAAGTTATTAGTGTGTTTGCTGTTTATTTTAAAGATTGACATTTTTTCCCAGGAAATACGCCAGAGCCAATTTCGATTAAAATGTGTGGAAACAAATCCACAAAGGAAACTCTCCAGGGTTGTTGTAATGGAACACCATTTAATTTGCTCAATCAAATTTGTTGTGGAGGTTGGTAAAATATGCTTACAAAACGTCTTAGATATTAATTTTCATTGTACAGTTTGATCCAAATCCTAAAAAATAACATGTTTTACATGTTTCACATTTAAACGAATTTCAGTTCTTTTTCTGGAATTTCAGATGATTGTTAGATTTTTATTGTTTTCAATAAATGGCATGGCATGATGCCCTTATTACCTTTAATCAAGTACAGACCAACAAAAGCAGGAAAAGACAATGTTTGAAGCTACTCCAAATCTTTTCTTTTTCAGTTTTGAGAAAAAAAGTAAAACATTAAATGACATCAAATACAATTCCTTGATGCTTTCTATGTATTTTCAGCGTTTGTGTTTAATAGATCGTTTTTTGTTTATTATTTTTTTATGGGAGAATGGGGGTCTGTCTTTTGAAGTCTTTTATTAACAATTACAAGCACCTTTTCCTTTTACATATTACATACAAAGAAATGTAAAATTCTAATATTATCTAAGGACTTTCCACAAACTTTAATTGAAATACACAAAAAATTACTACATATTTTATTTTTATATGACAGCACACAAAAGACTTTTATCCAAATTTTTATTAAAAAAAAAATACAGATAATATACCTCTGATCCAATATTTATGGATTACAGGAACCATTTTGCATAAATCAAAGAAATGCTGTGATGGGAGAGTATTGGACACTGCAAAATATGTGTGTTGCAAAGGAGAGACAATAGAACAACAGGTCAAGTTACTGTCTAACCATGATGATTGCTGTTTACTGAAAAATGGTTCTCTACAGACATACAACAGGAAATATTATGAATGTACTCTTACCTTGGGAGTTATCCAAAAGGGATCAAGATGTGGACCTTCGTTGTATAACAAACATAGAGATCTATGTTGTCAGGGAATACTATTTAAAAAAGGTACTCTCCAGAAGAGAAAATGCTGTGGTGTTGAATCCTATGATACTCAATGCCAGGAATGCGGATCCGATGGCATCACAGATTTGGCTACATGGTAAATATACTTATACCATTTAAAAACCTATACAAGAAGGTATTGGATGGGGGTCCTTCATTTCTGTATTCTTTAATTTTTTATAGCATTTTTCTCTATTCTTTATATTTTTTGCCCCTTATTCTGTAAATTCTTTATATATTCCATACAAGAGTTCAATCTAATTGTAATTTTATTAAGAACATGTTAAATACAAAATTTAAGTGTTGAAAACAAAATTGCTACGTATATATTTAACAATAACAAACAAATTCATCTGTTTTTAGGAGGAAATTCAATAAAAACACTAAAACAAGTTGTAAACTTTCAAGATATAATCAAAACTGAACTGATCATTTTGGAAAAAGATTGTTTACACATTTATGTTTTATATACTAAACTAAATAATTATAATTATCCTTCTTTGAAACCTTATCAGTTTTATTATGTTTCATGCATGATGGATTTAAGTGAAGTATCAGTTTCATTGATATATACCTCACTTCTCTTTTATTAACTAATTTAAGCATGTTAAAAATCTTGCTCAGCATATTTGTCTAGTACAAAGCAGGGTAAATAATCATATTACATTATCATTTTCTCATACTGAATATGCATATCAATATGCCGCTGGACGTTAAGCAGTCATCCATCATCATCATCATCTTTTATTAACTCACCTAGACAATTATAAAGTTGATGTGAGCTATTGCCATTTTTTAGCATATGACTCATTCATTGAGAACAACAATCAATCATTGCCAATAACTATTGTTTTTACAAATTTTCTACTCCAAAACTACTGAATGTATTTAAAGCAAACTTTGTGTTAATGTCAATTGGAAATAATGTATATATCCAAGGTTCCAATTCTTCAATAAACATTACTTATGTTACTAAAAATATAACATACGGTTCACATTGCAGCTTTTGGCTTATATATCAAACACTATAAGATTCTCTGAACATGTGCCATTGTTTTAAATGATGAGTATGTCGAGATCTACAGAAGTCTCTGTTTAGTAAAAATTGTCTGGTAACTACTTAAGGCTTTGGTGCACCTGAAATCCATTTCTTTACTGTTTCGAGCTTTTATAACAAAACAGTGTCAACATAAAAAATAACCCAGTGTCAACATATAAAAAAAAATAGTGTCAACATAAAAAAAACAGTGTCAACATAAAAAAAACAGTGTCAACATAAAAAAAACAATACTGAAGATTGACAGTTACATTAAATATTATTTTGTAGTAGAAAACAAATCAAACTTGACGAAACACAACTTTACTGTGGAAGACAAGTATATAACAGAGATACAGACTTATGTTGTAATGGTGAACTTTATGTCAATGGAAAAAACCAGAACAAAGGCTGTTGTGGAGTAAAATCTTACTTGAAAAAGAATAAAAAATGCCATGATGGAGAAATCAGGGAAGGGTATGTAATATTTAAATGAAACATCTTTTTCCTAATTGTCAGGATTTTAAAAATTGAATCCAATTGCTCTTTCTTCTGGTAATGAATGTAATCAAGGGTTGTCTTTGATTGCTGTCTACAATAATAATTTTTTTAATTGTCATAAATCAAGAATCTTGATGAGGATATTTCTATTTGATTGTGTGGCAGCTATGTCTTTTGTCAGAACTGTGATCTTAAATTTGATGCAGGGGCATGGACTCTTATATGCAAAAGAACCTTTTGAATGACCCATTAGTGACCTGTTTCACCCTCCATTCCTGCTGATTCCATTTCAGAATCTACTTATGATTTATTGATAAATTTGTTCTCTCCTGATTATGCATGTGATACTTGCCACTAGACAATAAGCAAATAACAGTCAATCACTATTTGAACCAAATATGATTAACCCTGTGTTAATAGATAAAATTGAGAATGGAAATGGAGAGAACTCTTAAGATCAATTGAATCATAATTAACTACATTACAGGTCAAAGTAAAACACAAATAGCCTTGAACTTGAATCATCTTCAATAATTTTTTGGTACTTTAAATCTTCAGTTATTCCATCAAATATCAATATGACAGAGTGTTTTATCTGTTAAATGTTTGGAAGTAGTATATAATAATAAGTATACTTAAGAAGTAAGAATCAACCAATTTACGAATGTGGTAAGCTAGGTGAGAGATGAATTGTCTTCATACATTGTTCTTATGAATCTAAGATATCCCTATCCTATAAAAGTGTTTAAAAAAAAGAGGAGTGATATCCCACACCAAAATAGGAATTATATCATAAAAATCAAGTGAGCTGTGATATTAAAAAATACAGATGGGTCTTTTTAAACAAGTTTTGAACAAAATGCACATATTAGTTCCTAACAATAAATAACAACTAACTTAATATTTCCTCAATATATTCAACAATTATCAACAAGTCTTTTTTATTTTCTTCCTCAAAGGCGTGTCTGTCCGAAGTACTGTCAAAGAAGCTGGATTCAAAACTACCAAACATTGCAGACCTGGAACAAAAATAAAACAAATATGTGTAACTATAAAGGTATGTATCCTACACTATAAAATGCTCAAATTTTCTTCTATAATGTAGTATGTAAAAACATAATGACAATATTAAAGGGGCACTAGCTGTCAAATTCATGTTCACCAATTTGACTCAAATTCTCATATTGGATTTATAACAATGTAAAACATCTATCCAAATTATAAAAAGTCTAAAATAAACAATATACCGGGCATGGACTCGATAATATGTAGCTTCATTTCGTGTGTATTTAAGTGTAGACGCCATCTAATTAACTGTCGAGTTGACCCCCGAAGACCTCCCATTGCCATATAAGCGATATAAACATAAATATAGATATAAATAGATATCAGACTCGTGCATTTATATCTTTCTATGTCTGTTTAATTTCATATTATAGATTAAAAATATATGTTAATCATCGTTTTTACCTGTATCAGAATGATTTTTTTTTTTGGATCGAATCAGTCAATCAAATGATTTACCTTTGTTTCACTTTCAATGTTGACATTCTTTTCCTTTAAATAATTGAACACGCACAATGCATGCAGTATCCATCTCTAGCTAAGGGGTTAAATTGAAGTTCACATGAATACGGATTCAATGAGGTCGAATTATTCACTTGCAAGTGAATAATTCATCATCAATGTTTCTTAGCTTATTTTGATAAAACTGAACTATACTGGCTGCTAAAAGCGATATATTATTTCACTATTTCACTTTCATTAATGATTGAACAAAAAAAATCATACTTTATATTTTTTATATATCTCGTAGCTAGTGCCCCTTTAAGCATAGCATGTATATATCCATTATAAAAAAGAAATGCAAGAAGATATTTAGGGATGGGATTAAAAAAAAAAATTGAAGAAAGAGAAACACCATACATGACCATAGTTGAAGAAAGGCAATCAATAATCCACAATATACAGAAAACTAAAGATTGAACGACATAAACCTTACAAAATCCTGGAGTGAAAATAGACCAAGAAGAGAGGAAAACCTAAATAGGAATCCAAAGAATTGTACAAGTTCTAAGAAAAAAAAAAAAAAAAAAAAAACTATGATCACATGGTTTTGATGGATAGATGTCTCATTGGCAATCATACCTCATCTCCTTATTTTCATATAGGATGATATTTAGAATTGTCTCTATTACTTATTCCTATAAAGTATATTTGGTTTTTTTATGCATTATACGAACTGCTAAAAGCATCTTTTGTTGAACAAATCCCTTGTGTCAAGCCTTACTTTCATGCCATGGCAGCCAGCATATAAATTAAGCATCTTACAACTTGGAATGACACAGTCATCAATCAATCAATAAATAATGCATCAACATTACAATTTTATAGGAATTTTTGGGACACTGTCAAGTTTTGCAAGAATTTAGAAAAAATAATTTCTATTTTACATGATTCTTTAACAAAAATACTTTAATTACTTTTCAGTCTACACTATTAGTTACTTCAAAGGAAAAACCTGGAAAACAAACAACAGGAAAAATTCCAAAAAAGTTGTCTTTAAAAAAGACTGCAGGTGTCTTTTTAAAGGAAAGAAAGAGGCTATATTAGTGTCCAAGAGAATAACTAAAGCTGGCAAGATAAGAGATCAATTCTACCTTCTACCAATTAAAAAGAAAATCAAAAGATTCATAAAAAAATTGAAAAAAGATATAAGAGAAAAAAACAATAAAAACAAAAGTTGTAAGTCTAAGAAAAAAAAAGAGGAAAAATAAAACAAAAAGGGAATAAGGAATATGAATTTGCTTTTAAACTTCTTTTTTTTGGAACCCTTTTTCCCATCCCCCTTTTCAAATACATTTTAAAATGGGAAGTTTTTTAATTTAATATATGTCAAAATAATGAAGATTTCTACTGAGTTTTTTTTAGCACTAAAGGTAATAATTGCCACTTGATTTTCTATATACAAGTTTTAAGAGCATAAAATATGGCAAAGCTCTTAGTATTTCAAACTTTTTTTGTATTTAACTTTTTTGTGAATATTATAAGAGAAATTGTGTCATCTGTCTCAAATGGGGTATCAAGTGAATCTATTCTTTAGCCAATCATTCTCATTCATTTATGGTCCAATATCATACATATCATCATCATGGTCCAATATAATACATATCACCATTAACCAACACATTTCAATTTCTTGACAGACATCAAATTGTAAATTTTGAGGCACTACAAAAATTTACCATCTTTTTCCATATCAATACCAAAATCAACATTTTAGTTTGTTTGAAGATAGTGTAACTTCTTTTGATATTTTTTATAAGTATATGGAGATAATGATATATGTAGAAGTGATTTTCATTCACTTATAAAATGGATCATCTAGTTTAAAATCTTTAAATCTATTTTTCAACTTTTTAATATTCCATGGGACTGTAAAAAACACCTCGCAGGTGGCAAAGTATTCAATAGTAATAAATACATGTGATCTATAATCAAGTACTGTAGTTCCAAGTTTATATACCTGAATAAGGAAATTTACACCATAAATAAAGTAGATATTGTGAAATATGCTCTATTTTTTTATTCAAAATATCAGAAGTATTTATGAAGTGCATATCAGGCCATACTTCATTTAATTTTCTTGTGCATAAAAATACTGTCTCCATCATGCTACAAATTCACTGCCAAGTCATGTAAAATTTACATTGTTTATTTATAAAAGTATTATAATATGTGTTCAAAACAAATCTACCTGTTTGTTATTGTAAAAGATTTTCTAATGTATAATTAAAATTAATAATAGGAATTTTTGCAGCTGGAAATTTTAATCAATTTTTCTCAACTAAATATATCTGCTTGGTGCAGGTTATTCCCTTTCTGTATGTGCAAATCAATGAAAAGGTATAATTATATTTATAATATTTGAGGCTCATTTTAATAACACTGTTATAATATGAAATATTACATAAAATTGAAATCAATTTAATCAGTTATTTATTATCTGATATGAAATGATCCACTTAGAAAAAAATAAATATAAAAGTGCATTAGACTTCTCCATTCTTCCTGAATATAAATAAGCTGTATTTTTTAGTATAATGCCTTACATGTTGGAGGTTATGCAAGAAATAAATAGGGCTTTACATTCTAATTTTTACATAATCACCAAATTTTATACCATACAACATAATCTGTTTTGTAAATAGAATTCTGATACTCATATATTAATAATATAAAAGGGTTTTGGCTTTTCATGAAGCATTCCTTAGGTATTGGTAATAGTAGTTTAAAAAAATATCATCTACTAATTTTGATTTTTAAATGACCAAATTTAGTGTGAAAACAGAATGACCATTAGGACCATTGCAAAAACTTTTGAATACTATTAAATCTCCTAAATATCTTAATTCTTTTTTAAAAATAGAATATGGTTAAAAAATTACTATTTGTTTGGAGCAGACTGATCAGTGTTATCCAACACAATGTTAGAATTCTCTAAATTTAACTTTTAATGTTGAAAACTAAGAAAATTCTTCCACTAGAACATAGTGAGGTATCTGGAGCAATGAACTTTAACACTGTGGATGTAAATATTATAAATTATTCTATGATATTTATAGTTATGTAATTGTACAAAATGTATATAGGTACAAATGTATATAGGTACAAATGTGTATATGTACAAATGCATGTATGTATGAGTTTGACTGAATTATTTTTTGTATAATTTATATGATATTAAACTAAATTATATTGTTTACTGGTTTTTGTTATTTAAACATTTAAAGATCTTAGTGCAATATTGAGTATATAAAATATACTACATGGTACATGTACTTGGTTTAAACTACCAGTTGGTCTATGCAACTACTGTTTGACTGCATATCTTCAGTGGTGTAACTACTCCATAGTCCGAGCTTGTGTACTTGAGAAATTTTCAATTTAGGAAAGATTTGTTAACTTAATAGGAGACCCAGTAAGTTACCCCTTATGTAAAAAGGTCATGTTTAAAAAAATTTCTCAGGTCACCAGGTTACTTTTAAGCAAACTACACACTTCTAAACTAATCTGATTCTCGGTTTTCAATATTTAAAAGGTCACAGGTCTTTTTAATGCAGAACAGTGATGTGGTCCTTGGTTGTTAGTTGTCTGATTGGTAATCATACCACATCTTATTTTCATAAAATAACATAATTATGCACATTTAAAATATAATGAGAATACTGAGAGCACACACTTTATATCAAAGTTTCATTTTATAATTTGAGAAATGATTTGATCGAAAAACAAAACAGATAAATGCATTCCCGGTATTGAATTGTGATCTGACACAAAGATACAATTACATGTTATTGTAAAAAGAAAGAAACTTTAATGTAAAAATATGAAAATTACATTAACTAGATACATCCTGAATGACTTTAATATATTCTTATGTTAAATAGTGAACGGAACTCTAAATTCTTGATCTGTTTGTATGAAACTTAGACACTGCAAATAATGTCACATTGACATATTTTATTCTGAAAATATTAAATGTTATCCTACTAATGAATCACTACCAAGGCATCTTTTTCCAAAACCGAGAGGATATCCACATTCCCTAAACAACCTACACAAAATATTACATTGCTAGTAAGAGATTTATTACATTTTGTTTATGATGTTTCAATTTTTTTTTGCTTAGCTCACATACTTTTACACAGGGATAAAGATATTATTAATATTATCAATTGGCCAATTCTTTTATTAAATTTTATCACATACAATATATATACTTCTCTTGAAAACATAATTTAACATGCAAGAATATAATTAAATGTGAAATTTCACACTAATATGAAAATAAGGTGATCTGGTATGATTGCCTATGAGACAAATATCCACCAGAGTCTAAATGACGCCTATGTAAGCAACTATAGGTCACCATATAACCTTCAACAATGAGCAAAACCCATACCATAAGGTCGGCTATATAAGGTCCAGACCTGACAAAATGTAAAACAATACAAAAGAGAAAACCAATTATCACAGCTTTTTATGGTAATTTTATTTATAATTAAGAGGCAATTTAAAAAAAAAATTTCCTTTTAGCCTCTTTTTTCGAGTTGAATAGAGATAACTATACTGTTATGTTTAATGCATCAGGTTCAGTATTTTATTTAATTAATATCAGTTCCATATTTTGAACTAAAAATATTTCTATTAATTTATTCTGTCATGAAATTCTGTACAAAAGTACTTCAGGCATTCACTATGATTTTGTCTTCCTGCACTGTTGATGACATTGCTGTATGAAATCTACTGCAAAGTTTACTGATATTTGAGTGTAGAAAAGCATGATATCTATGTCAGGAATTATGTACTTTTGGCTTGCTTTCAGTCAGTATGAACCGTATGCTATATGACTGGTGAAGCTTAAATAGGGAGGAGAAGGTTGAGGGTACAAAAAACTGGTTTTATCCCACCACATGCTTTTATTGCTGTTCATAATCAGGAACTTTGTCAATGGTTGATTACCTTAGTTATAACTTTATGTTTGTGTCTTCGACGGAATAGGGTGTTGATGGTAATCTTTGAGGGAATGGGGTGTTGATGGCAATCTTTGAGGGAAAGGGGTGTTGATGGCAATCATTGAGGGAATGGGGTGTTGATGGCAATCTTTAAGGGAAAGGGTGTTAATGAAATCCTTTAGGAAATAGGGAATTGATGGCAATCTTTGAGGGAATGGGGTGTTGTAGGCAATCTTTGAGGAAAAGGGTGTTGATGATTGAGGGAATACGGTGTTAATGGCAATCTTTGAAGGAAAGGGTGTTGATGGCAATCTTTGAGGGAATAAGGTGTTGAAGGCATTAAGGGAAAGGGGTATTGATTGCAATCTTTGAGGGAACAGGGTGTTGATGGCAATCTTTGAAGGAAAGGGTTTTGATGGCAATCTTTGAGTGAATGGAGTGATAATGGCAATCATTGAGGGAATAGGATGTTGATGGCAATCTTTGAGGGAATATGGTGTTGATGGCAATCTTTGAGGGAATGGAGTGTTAATGACAATCATTGAGAGAATAGGGTGTTGATGGCAATCTTTGAGGGAAAGGCTGTTGATGGCAATCTTTGAGGGTATGGAGTGTTGATGACAATCATTGAGGGAATAGGGTGTTGATGGCAATCTTTGGGGGAATAGGGTGTTGAAGGCAATCTTTGAGGGAATGGAGTGTTAATGACAATCATTGAGGGAATGGAGTGTAAATGAAAATCTTTGAGGGAATAGGGTGTTGATGGCAATCTTCGAGGGAATAGAGTGATAATAGCAATCATTGAGGAAATGTGGTCTTGATGGCAATCTTTGAGGGAAAGGGTGTTGATGGTAATCTTTGAGGGAATGGAGTGTTGATGAAAACCTTTGAGGGAATGGAGTGTTAATGGCAATCATTGAGGGAATGAAGTGTTAATTACAATCTTTGAGGGAATTGAGTGTTAATGGCAATCATTGAGGAAATGTGGTGTTGATGGCAATCTTTGAGGGAAAGGGTGTTGATGGTAATCTTTGATGTAATCTTTGAGGGAATGGAGTGTTGATGACAATCGTTGAGGGAATGGAGTGTTAATTACAATCTTTGTGGGAATGGGGTATTAATGGCAATCATTGAGGAAATAGGGTGTTGATGACAATCATTGAGGGAATGGCGTATTGATGACAATCTTTGAGGGAATGGGGTGTTAATGACAATCTTTGACGGAATGGGGTGTTAATGGCAATCACTGAGGGAATAGGGTATTGATGACAATCATTGAGGGAATTGGGTGTTGATGACAATCTTTGAGGGAATGGGGTGTTGATGAAAATCTTTGAGGGAATGGATTGTTAATGACAATCTTTGAGGGAATAGGGTGTTGATGGCAATCTTTGAGGGAATGGAGTGTTAATGGCAATTATTGAAGGAATGGAGTGTTGATGGCAATCTTTGAGGGAATGTGGGTTTTTGATAGTAATCTTTGAGGGAAAGGGTGTTGATGGTAATCGTTGAGGTAATGGATTGTTAATGGCAATCATTGAGGGAATAGGGTGTTGATGGCAATCTTTGAGGGAATGGAGGGTTAATGGGAATCATTGAGTAAATAGGGTGTTGATGGCAATCTTTGAGTGAATGGAGGGTTAATGGCAATCATTAAGTGAATAGGGTGTTGATGGCAATCTTTGAGGGAATGGGGTGTTGATGGCAATCTTTGAGGAAAAGGGTGTTGATGATTGAGAGAATACGGTGTTAATGGCAATCTTTGAGGGAAAGGGTGTTGATGGCACATCCTGGGGGAATGGGGTTTTGATGGCAATCTTTGAAGGAAAGGGTGTTGATGGCAATCTTTGAGGGAAAGAGGTGTTGATAGCAATCATTAAGGGAAAGGGGTATTGATGGCAATCTTTGAGGGAACAGGGTGTTGATGGCAATCTTTGAGAGAAAGGGTTTTGATGGCAATCTTTGAGTGAATGGAGTGATAATGGCAATCATTGAGGGAATAGGGTGTCGATGGCAATCTTTGAGGGAATATGGTGCTGATGGTAATCTTTGAGGGAATGAAGTGTTTATGACAATCATTGAGAGAATAGGGTGTTGATGGCAATCTTTGAGGGAAAGGCTGTTGATGGCAATCTTTGAGGGAATGGAGTGTTGATGACAATCATTGAGGGAATAGGGTGTTGATGGCAATCTTTGGGGGAATAGGGTGTTGAAGGCAATATTTGAGGGAATGGAGTGTTAATGACAATCATTAGGGAATGGAGTGTAAATGACAATCTTTGAGGGAATAGGGTGTTGATGGCAATCTTCGAGGGAATAGAGTGATAATAGCAATCATTGAGGAAATGTGGTGTTGATGGCAATCTTTGAGGGAAAGGCTGTTGATGAAAACCTTTGAGGGAATGGAGTGTTTATGGCAATCATTGAGGGAATGGAGTGTTAATTACAATCTTTGAGGGAATGGAGTGTTAATGGCAATCATTGAGGAAATGTGGTCTTGATGGCAATCTTTGAGGGAAAGGGTGTTGATGGTAAACTTTGAGGTAATCTTTGAGGGAATGGAGTGTTCGTGACAATCGTTGAGGGAATGGAGTGTTAATTACAATCTTTGTGGGAATTGGGTGTTAATGGCAATCATTGAGGGAATAGGGTGTTGATGACAATCATTGAGGGAATGGCGTATTGATGACAATCTTTGAGGGAATGGGGTGTTAATGACATTCTTTGAGGGAATGGGGTGTTAATAGCAATCATTTAGGGAATAGGGTATTGATGACAATCACTGAGGGAATGGGGTGTTGATGACACTCTTTGAGGGAATGGGGTGTTGATGACAATCTTTGAGGGTATGGATTATTAATGCCAATCTTTAAGGGAATAGGGTGTTGATGGCAATCTTTGAGGGAATGGAGTGTTAATGGCAATTATTGAAGGAATGGAGTGTTGATGGCAATCATTGAGGGAATGGGGGTGTTGATGACAATCTTTGAGGGAATTGAGTGTTGATGGCAATCATTGAGGGAATGGGGTGTTGTTGGCAATCTTTTTTTAGGAATGGAGTGTTAATGACAATCATTGAGGGAATAGTGTGTTGATGGCAATCATTGAGGGAATGGGATGTTGTTGGCAATCTTTTTTTAGGAATGGAGTGTTAATGACAATCACTGAGGGAATGGGGTGTTGATGGCAATCTTTGAGGGAATGGAGTGTTAATGGCAATCACTGAGGGAATAGGGTGTTGATGG